TGAATTGGTATGCTATTTATCGTGTATTGATGGCTTTGTCATGTCTTAGTTTGAGCAACACAGACATGATAAGCAGAGTTATCAAGTCCACAACTTTCAGAGACGAGTCGTGTACCAACAGAAACCGGGCTGGACTGTGGTAAAGACATTGAATTTTTTCTCGATATTTAGAATCTAAAATCAGCTGGGTTCAGCTCAGCACGGACTATACTGAAATTCATACAAAACTGGAGTGCGTCCAGCAATCATTGATTGCGTGGGAAGCAATCAATTACGACGTGCTCTCTGCGGTGGGTTTGGGGACCCTTCGTCGTCTGCCGTCTCCTCCTCCTCTCCCTCAGCATTCCACTCGTCTTCCTCCGCTGCCCGCACACGGATTTTGCGCTTACCACGGCTGGGCTTGTGCGTGCCGTTCCGCCAGCACTTGTGCCAGATCTCAAAGCACGTACGCGCCTCCCCATCGTACGAGTGTTTGACTTTGTTGCACAGATACACTGGCGACGTTTTAGCTTCGCCACTCCTTTTGTCTGTTGTCGTGAGTACGCATGTACTGCACTGGAAGGACGTGTCTCCACCCGTTACCTTCTCTTTGAGTAGCGAACACACTTTGCATGCTCTTTGACGACGTTTGCGACTTCCTTCAGTGTTGCCCTTCCTGGTGTCATCTGTCTGGACGGGCATATGCTCGGAACTGCCTCCCGCACGATGTCTTGTCGGAGTTGCGTTTTGCCCGCGCGTCCGCTGCAGTTCCAACCAGTCCGACGCGGTTATCTGGCACAGTTCGAGGTGGAGCTGCTTCATAAAGGCAATGTGCGTCATCTTCGTCTTGTTCGCAGCCTTGCGTGCACGGTTGAAGATAATAAACGCGTTCACTATTGCAAGATCGACGAAGCCCAAGAAGAGGCTCTTGTAGTATTTCTTGAACCGAACTGCAAGCTGAAGAGAGTATCTGTAACATGTCCAATACACGATAAGTCTTTACACTATATAAATTATACATGATAAACATTACCTTTGGAGACGGAGCTGGTCATGTACATCGACACCTCCCATGTACGTTTGGTAGTCTTTTAGAACCCTTGGGCAAGCAACTTCCTCTTGATCACCTGTTCTTGCTCGCCGAACAACACGGTCTAGCTCCGTCGCGCCGCCAGCACACAGCATGTACACAGGTCGATTATCCCACCACTTCACCATTGTCATGTTTGTAACGATCTTCGACTCTGCGAACGTGAAAGTACCACGCTCAATTTTGTCTGGGCGAGTCTTTTCTTTCTTGGTCGAACGTACTTGAGCGCTGAGCCCCAGCCGAGAAGTCAGTACTGTTCCAATGCTGTAGTAGCCCATCTTGAGTAGCTCCATGGCGAGTGGAAGAGAAGTATAAAATCGGTCCATGACCACCAAGCGCTTTAGGTCAGATGGCTCATCGCCAAACACAGCACGTAGGTTCCTCACAACGGCCACAGGCCCGGTCCGCTCATCCCGAGCCACAACTCCTCCTACCGTTTCAGCTTTCCCCAGATATACTTCGAACCTGTATTGGACACGATAAGAAACCACATATTTGTATTAGACACGATAAAAAACTTAGCGTTTAAAAAAAAAAGAGAGCGTGTCATGGCAGACACGCTCAACTAACCGGATGCAATAAGCTGTGTAGGAACAACACAACATGAAGAGCTTGGTGCCGTACTTGTGCGGTTTGTCCTCGATGTACACGCGCATTCTGTTGAACGATGATCTTGATGGAAGCATGGCCTCGTCGAAAGCCATGATCGGTGGGGGGATGTAGCCATTTTGGAATCGACTTTGTAGCTCCTCGATGATAGGACGTAGCTTCCAAGCTCGATCGCCAGCAGCTCGTTCATCACTGTTGCTACTAAAGTGTAGATTGCGAGCAATATGCGCGAAACGGTCGCGGGACATGTATCTACCAACGCATCCACGCGGTATCCCTCCTTCGTCTGTAGTCTTCCAGTGGTGTTGGAGCTTCTCCTTGTTTGGGGAGATAGTCCGAGCAATAAGTAGTCCAATAAATAGGCACACGTCTCTACCGGAGATAGCCGGTAGCTTCAGCAGCTTCGAGCGAATCTCTGCCTTGTTTTGTCGTCGAATCATGGGCTTCTTCTTCTCACGGGCGAGTTGGCGTTCGTACTACACGGCGACGCGCTCTTCCAACTTCTCATGAAAGTACGCTTCACTAGTCATAGCAATGTCGTCCCACAATCGCGGAGTCATAAAGAAGAAGAAGCTGGTCATCGGGGTTGATGCCGCAGCCAGGGCCTCCGGGGTTGGTCCATAGTCTCCGTCGTACAGACCAGGATAGTCGTGATACATTGAATTGGGAGGGCGGGTTTCGTAGGGACCATCCATGTAGGGATAAGGTTCTTGAGTTTTAGCATCAGACCATCCACTGTTTGAGATTTCACGAAGAATATGAGCTTTATTCCTCTGCCCAAAAGCCTCCACAGTAATGCCGTCGACACCGCCAACAGCAGCAAGGAGGTCATCACCGAACATCATGTCAGGAGGGGCTGCAATGTCATCGTCATATGGATCGGGTGCCTTAAAATCAAGATCTTCATCGTTGTTATCGAAGCCATCATCATTCTCGCCGTCTGAATCAAAGGCCATGTAGTCCTCCGAGCTATCGCCAGCTCTGGTAACGTTGATGTCGGTGTCTATCGAGTAGTGATACACGTTAGTACACGAATCATATATACTTATCATGTATATACATGATATGGTACCTGGAGAATCATCTGAGAGATTGGTATCGCGTCGACCATCATCAACCTCCGTCTCACTGCTTGAACTACTGTCTTCAATGTGTAGTGATGTAGGGCAGAGTATACCCGTGCGCTCAATACCACTCTCCGAGGCCACTTCAGCAAATTTCGCGTTCAAGTTACGCTGGGGATCACCTGCATCAGTTACTTCGCGATCACAACACGGGTAAGTGATACTTCAACCATACTTCATCTGAAAATGAAATGCTCACCTTGTTGCAGCGGCTGTACAACCTCAGACGCGTTATTCTGTATGTCTGCGTCGTCTTCATTTGGTGTGTGTACTTGTTCAGGCGTTGTACCTGTATAATACATGTTATAGAGTCATCTAATGGTGTATAGTACATGGCAAAGCGCACACCCTCGACGTACCACCTGTGATTCTCGGCACCGCCCCTGAATGCAGATCCACATTGGCTAGGTTATCTGCTCGAGCGTCCGCAGCAGTACATGACGTTCCCTCTCCTCTAGCTGTATTGTACGTGATAAGAACTGTCGGTTAGGACGTACTATACATGATTAGCAAGCAAAACACGTACCAGCTCCAGCATTGTTAGATGACGATGCAGATGGGAGAGCGTGTGTCGTTGTCTTGGCCTTCTTCTGTCTCACCTCCTCTGTAATCCCATGCACGTTAGAATAAGACAGCGTTATGAAATAACGAGAATCGAGTTACCGAGAGCTAGCCTGTCCAGATACTTCAGCAGTTCCTCGTCACCTACGAAGTAGTCCACGCCCCTCACGTCTGCCTTGGTCTTGCCGGGGCGAAGGTACGTATAGTCGGTCTCCAGCCCCCTTGGCCTGCTGGATTTCCACCCCTCCTTCAGTAGCTGCGACCACACTGCTCTAAATGCTGCAGCCATCTCCCCCCTCCGCACCAAATTCTGGAATGCCAACAAACGAGTGGCTTACGCGTGACCTCTCATACCTTATGGCGGGAACTGGCACTCTTCCAAACACTTTGTCAATTGATATTTAGAAAATTAAAATGGCACACGTCTATGACGCAGACGTTGACAGGTTTTTGCACGCTAGTTCGTGTCAGCCTTCACGACACCTTCCCCTAGTTGACAGAAGATTTGTATATTTCAATAATAAGAATAAGTCTATTTCCTTATCGTGTCTAATACAGGATAAACTTTTCGTGCAATCGTGTCTAATACAGGCCTTCGCGCTCGGGGGGTTAAACAGAACAGAGCGAACAACGCCTACGAACGTCGTCGACCTACAATTAGATGCTGTCTTTAGACAATTTTACACCTTCTGCACATACCGGCC